TCAGATCACTTGGACGTGGCTGTGGTTACAAGAGGTAAAACGATATAAATACTGTTCGTTTTCTCACACAAACCGCTCGTTTTGTGTCTTAGGTGTCGCATTTCTCTGGTGGTGACCATAGACCTCCATTATATGACTGATAGACATGACAAAAATATGTCAAAATTGAAACTACTGTGGAAACAAAGACACCTCTTTGATGCCCTTGAGGTAGAACATACCAAAAATTAATTTCAAAGTGAACTATCCCTTTAAGAACTTTAACTAACAATATTAGCCTACATTTAAAAATAGCCCTTTTAATGAGAATAATTGTGTTAAAATATGCTTAATGTCCTTTATTTTTTCACTTGAATTATTTATCTTCTGTGTTGTTTCTTCTCCTCAAACACATAAATTCTTGTAGATACTAGTATTGTCACGATACTAGAATTTCTAACTTCGATACGATAACTTGAAAAACATTTTTTTTTTTTTTAAAGCTAAATATAACAAGTATAGAACATGACAATGAGGTATATTTTATGAGTTCTATTTGTTAATATTTTTCTATTGGACCAGAGCTAACATGATCCGTTGTATTTTATTACCTACTGTTATCAAAGATTAAAATATACGCTACTGTAACATAAAAACAGATTGGAGGATAGAGTGTCAGTAATGTATAATAATAAGATTAAACATTCAATTTTCAGCTAAAGGCAGTTCATTATTGAATTCAGAGATGCCATTGTCTGTTTAGTTTAATTAGTATCTGTGTAATCAAATTGATGATAATCGCTAATGAAGGCAAATTGCAGAATTAAATAATAAAGTTAAATAGGCACAAGCTAATTTACATTTGACCACAGTTACAATATTTAATTTAGTTAAAAATGTAATTAAAACATTAAGTTGGGCTCAAATTTTAAATTACATTTTTAACCCAACATTTGGGTTTGTCCATATTTCACTCAAATTTGGGTTTAAACAACCCAGCATCATTTTGAGTGTGTTTGCTACTCACTATTCGTAACCTGTGTGCACTAAGTTGGATGGGTTAAATGCAGAGGACAAATTATGAGTATGGGTTACCACACTTGGCCTTCACATGTCACTTTCACTTTCATTAAAGTCTTTTTTATTTTGTGCCATCACAACCAGATGAATGTTCACTTCAGAATTATATTCACTCAATGCTGTTATAATATGTGAAAATCTTCCACAAAACTGTCCTCAATGATATTTTGAGTCACTTTGGGCAACAGTCTGTATGAGTGAGTCATGTCCACTAGGGGCTTGTGTGCCTTGCGCTCGCTTTGTTAATCTGTTTTTGAGGTTTGTCCCTCAGGAACACTGACTGCAGAACAGTGCGCCATGTTTTCAAGTAATTATATTGCACTTATCAGGGCCAGGGACCCATCGACAAATTGATTCGTTTTAGTCCTGGCGGCTAGACCTATTGGGAAAAACAGATTAAAATCTCTTGATGACCACAATGCACACTTGAGGCACAAACCACAGATACGATCAGCTGCCCTGCACACCTAAGTGCCATCTCCACCAACATTTAAGAGCTGTAACACCAGTGCCAATATATTTCTACAGATGGCACAGCACCTGATCTGGTAGATATATAATTAAAGGTATTTTAATCATAAAATTACTATTATTTTGCATTAATAAGTGCAGTAACTAATAATATAAGGTCTACATGTACATGTTTATTTCTTGGAAATGCATATATATATATATATATATATATATATATATGAAGAGTTCAGATGCAAAAGCCTCTAAATGCCATTTGAAATTTTCTTCTTTAATGATGATTTTTATCAAACTTGTATATTTAAGTTCAGTAATTTCACTTAAATAACAATTAATAGGTAATTATCATTGCCATTTAAGTGAAATCACTGAACTTAAATATACAAGCTTGATAAAAATGATCATTCTAGAAGAAAATTTCAAATGGCACTTAGAGGCTTTTGCATCTGAACTCTTCATATATATATATATATATATTGCATGGTCTCTTATTCCTTATAAAAGCTCTTTTAAATGTTACAATATTGCTGCTTGTCAACACATTAATCTTGGACGAAAAAACAGGCATTGACTTTGAGCACTGCTCAGTAAACATTTGAAAATTGATGTTTATGCTGAAATAATAAAATCAGCAACTGAGATTATTCTGTTTACTTGTAAACAAAGCCCTGCATCAGAACATTTACCAAGCAGAGAGGAAACTAAATTAAATTTACTCTAATTTATCCAAAGACCTAAAGGGACATGCATGGTGCATGCAATGTTTTAATGATTTTTGTTTGCTTTATTTCACCCACTTACAGAGAGAATAGCTTTTATTGGGCCAGAGCTTTCCATGGACTATAATTAAATGCGTTTTTCAATCTTTTTCTTTTGTGTCAGCGGTTATGCGTAAATCACAGTGTGAAAGACAGCCTTCACGTTGGTGTTTTGTCCAAATAAACCAGCTCTTTGTGTGCTGAAGTCTGTCTGCAAATGAGGTAAAAGAAAAGCTTGAATAAAGCCAGTGGAGACGTCTTTCTTTCTCTGACCTTTTTATTCTTTAATGGGGGTCTGCTGTCTGGAAGCGCTAACTGCGCTAATGAACAGAGCAGGAATGAATGAAGACAATGGTATTAAAATCACAGCACTGAATTACACTTCATACTGCTGTCATAATGTAGGCCGATCAAATTTATAGGAGAGAGCTGTGACTGGAAACCTGATTTAACAGAACTAAATGAGGCTGACATCAATTTAGGGTTCTCGCACATGCATTCTTCCTCTGATGTGTACGGAATAGGGAATACCAGTAAAATATTCAGTTTTTCCGGAACCACTTACTCAGTGTTGCCACAACACTAGCAAAGTAAAGCAAAGCAAGACTTATTTTTAGTATCATACACATAAAGAACTTGTATGGGCCGATGCTCCAACAAATGAGTTTTTTATTTTATTATAATTATTTTTTTTTTACTTTTACTGCATCCGAATATGCCAACTTCCATTTAGGATGCGAAAGCAAGTACGTCAAAAGTTTATGGGCCCTATTTTGATTATCTGAAGCGCAAGTAACTTTGTGGGCGGGTCTTGGATTTGACGTCATAGAACAGATCGAGCCCCTCCCCTCTCCGCCATGTTGGTGGGATTCCGGGCTGGCGGCAAAACTTGAGTGTTTACGTGTGTTGTTAGCTCGGTAGTAGAGGAGTTTATCTCATTTCCGCACTGTTTAACCATACCTGGAAGTCATTGCTCCGTTAAAACTGCTCCAGTACCTCACACGATACAAATGGAAAACATAGGAACTATGGAATATAGTTTTTTAGATGACTAAAATCAAATGGACACAGCATCAGGGAGAGCAAGTCTCGGCTTGGTTTGCTGCAATAAGAAAGGACTTTACTTTCAATCTCACCCCCCTGTCGACGAGAGTGTGTTCTCTGCATTTTCACTCGGGTACGTTCTCTAAAAAATGTCTTTATGTTGCTGTCTCTTAAAACTACGAACTGTAGGTTACCTAATGTTGTTGCAAACCCTGAAGTGCATCTTAAATTGCATAGACTTCAATACAAAATAACAGCAAAAACCAACGTCCGTACACAGCCGACTGGCGTAAATAACTTAAGAAATCACTTGTATAAAACATGTCAAGTAATTATATGTCCACCCTGCCTGCCATAGAGCGTGAAAGATACATACATAAAGTCAATTTGGCCAATTTAAAAACATGTCCCTTTATTCTCCCAGCGTCAAATTGGTGTAACAACCCCACCCAGTGGCCAGAGGTGTCTTACCCGGACATTTAATTGTACCTCATCGAGTCACCAGGTAAGCCCCTGAATGATTTTATTTCGTTTTATTATGAATTATTTATGATGATGATGGCAGGTAGAATTGGGCTAGTTGATTACGGGCATAAAAAATGTAGGCCTATCTTTCATGCTCTATGGCAGGCAGGGTGGACATATAATTACTTGACATGTTTTATATAAGTGATTTCTTAAGTTATTTACGCCTGTCGGCTGTGTACGGACGTTGGTTTTTGCCGTTATTTTGTATTGAAGACTATCATAGACATATCCACTAGATGTCACCTTGGATACGGCAGTTCATTGGAACGAATGCGTCAATAGAGCCGCCATCTTGAAACAGGGGATCCCCTCCACTTTAATGCACCAGCGTCAATGTAGTAAACACAGGTCTAACGCAAATAAAATCACCATAAATCATCATGAATGCGATTTTTCTTGTTTTTTTGGTTTGTTCCAACGGTCAGACATGTATTTATCATTGATTCCAGAAAGAATTTTTTTTTAAACATTCTTCCTAGTTCAGATTTCATCCGTGAACATCATACGCTGCACAAAAGTCCGCCACCATCAATGAATTCGAAGTAAAGGCAGAGATAGCAGCGTTACCTAGCTACTTCCACAGCCGAGGAGACCGACGCTCTCGTCAGGGCAGTGAAAGACAGAAGTGACGGTGTCTGGGGTGGGAGAAACCCACCCAAATCACAGTCACATAAACAGGCGTGGGAGGAAAAAAACTACATTTCTTAATGGACACCACAATGATTTCCCTCATGTCATATGTTATTATTTTCCCTTGTTATAATGTATGATTTGCAAACCCCCCCCCCCCCAATATATATAGTTTTAAATTTGAACTGTAAAAAATGCTAAAGTAAAGTTCCCTTACGATTAATGGGGGAAACTGTAATAGATATAACCTTATAAACAATATTGAATTTACCATTTAAAAAAAAAAAAAGAACAAATCATCTCATAATTTACAGTAAAAAGCCATACAGGTTCATACCCAGAATTCCCTGTTTTGTTTTTCAAAAATGTCTTTTATTATTATAATTGATTCTTTTTATTATCATTATACACTATAGGGTTTTATAAATGTAATAACATTGCATTCTGGTCTGTTTGCATGTTAGATTTTAGTTTTGATATGATGCTTCGTTATTTGTGCTTATATTGTAGACCTGCCAGATTTGTCATTGCAGACTCGGAGATGTTCAACAGAGCTCAAACCGATGCAGAGAAGAAAGAGGGCTGACTTTGGTCTCCATGAATTCAAGTGAGTGAATGAATGTCAAAGTGCAGGTTCTGTGGCATTGTAGAGCTCATCATCTGTGTTTTGGGCTTCAGTTCTCGCTCTTCAGACAGACTGCCTTATGCATGAGAAAGATCCCTCTTTGGGCTTTGAGGTACGTGTCTCTGTCTCATCTGGATGGCAGTCATGCTCCAACTGTGTTTTATGCTCCTGAGGAGAAGCCTCAGGTCCTTTCACATTCACTCTCACTCACAAACACATAAGCTCATGGAAAATAGTGGCCCAGAATTCAAATGAATGAACAATAGAGCAGCCTGAAGCCTTTTACCACTTTTAGTTGAATCCAATACAAGTAGTTCTTTATCTCTGCGGCATTCAAAACAAAAAAAATCAAACCTGACATTTCATGTGGGCTCCTGGGAAATACAGGCATACAAACAAAATATGTGATTTAAAGTCAAGCAAGGAAACAAAACGTCCAGTGCCAAGGTGATTTATAATATCTGTGTGCATCAGCTCCGTTTTTCAAATGACTGGAGGACTTTCCTTTGTATGTTTAGTCTCTTGAATATGAATTCATCCAAAATGAACATCCTGCCATTATTTACTCGCCCTCATTTCGTTCCAACCCCATAAGCTGTTTGAAACGCATTGTGTTTAACACTCAATCAAGCCTCCATTTGAGATATGCAGTAAGAAAACCTTGAGCATTATTGTGCGGGTGGCAGACGCTTTGATTTTTGAAGCAGGTTGGAGAGATAAACGGCTCGAGTGTTTTCCAGACGATTCTGAAAAAACAATCAGGGACATTTTCCATTTCAATGATTTGTCCTCTTGTGTTTGTTTTTATGGCTTGACTATATTCAGATCAACACAAATGATGAGTTTATTTTCAACGAATGGCCCCTTTTAGATGGAAATGAAATAAACATCCATTGTGATGATGGGCACAATCTATGGTCAATGGTTTTTTATAAAAATTAAACTATCAAAGAAAAACGTTTCAAGGTTTCAGGATGTGCAGATAATCACCCCCAAATCACCAAATTGGTGCCATTAAATTGCCTCAGTCTTGACTTTAAGCTGTGTTAGGCTGACACGGGCTGGTTTTGGTTTTGGGAGCTGTGACAGTGATAAGAGAATGTACGGCTGGTTTACGATTGTGCTGGGTAAACTGTAATTGTTTGCCTTCCTTTCTGAGTTTAATTGGCTTAGTTCAATAATGAAGTGGCATGAGAGCAGCTCTGCACATGAGTGCACTTCATTCTGTAATTGAGACATTTGTTTGATAGCGTGCGATCCCCAGACGTGTGGCATTCGTACGCTCTCACTTTAGTGAAAGGCGGATGATTGGCAGGGATGTCACTGGGTGCCATGAGCCGTCGCCGAGCTGCTTATTCGAGTGATTATCGACGTGTTAAATTATGAATGAAGTGCCAAAGATGTGCGAAATCTTGTCATAATATGATCCACAGATGCAGCACTGTGGGCAATCAACAAATGATGAGTGTATAATGATAAAAAATTGTAGTTGTATATTAAAGTATTAGTTCACTTTTCAAAAAACTTTTGCTGATAATTTACTCGCCCCCGTGTCATCCAAGATGTCCATGTCTTTCTTTCCTCAGTCGAAAAGAAATTAAGGTTTTTGATGAAAACATTCCAGGATTTTTCTCCATATAATGGACTTCAATGGGGAACCAAAACGGTTCAAGGACCAAAACACAGTTTCAGTGCAAACTGCAAACTGTTCAAAGGGCTTTAAACGATTCCAGACGATGAATAAGGGTCTTATCAAGCGAAACGATCGCTCATTTAATAAATAAATAACATAGTTTAAGTTTGATAAGATCAAACGCTCGCCTTGCTCTGTTCTGTAACGCACTCCTGTTCGAACTCGTTCAACAAAATTAACAAATCTTTTTCCGAATCAATTCGTTCGTTTCTTTCGCCGAATGAACCAAGTGACTCGGAAAAAGATTTGTCCATTTTGATGAACGAGTTCGAACAGGAGTGCGTTACAGAACAGAGCAAGGCGAGCGTTTGAGCTTATAAAACTTAAACTTTGTTATTTATTTATAAAACGAGCGATCGTTTCGCTTGATAAGAGCCTTATTCATCGTCTGGAATCGTTTAAAGCCCTTCGAACAGTTTGCAGTTTGCACTGAAACTGTCTTTTGGACCCCATTGAAGTCCATTATATGGAGAAAAATCCTGGAATGTTTTCATCAAAAACCTTAATGTCTTTTCGACTGAAGAAAGAAGGACATGGACATCTTGGATGACATGGGGGGGTGAGTAAATTATTTTTAGATGACTAGATGGCTCTGTTACCGGTAGGCGTGGCCTCCTAGGGCAGCGAAGCAAGTGCATTCTGGGAGTTGTTGTCTTTCATCCACTTAAGCCAAAAATTTGGGTTTTTCCTAGTCTAGAAAGTTTAAAATTAAAAAATAATATCACATTTCTTCTACATTTTAAATACTCATTCATCTTTCCATAGGTGAAGTATCCCTTTAACAATATTGTTTGGGTAGTTTAGGGTAGAGTTTAGGCATATTATTTTCAAACGCTTAAAGCATTACCCTTTTAGCACCACTTCACGAACTGCCACAATACAAGGCATGTTTTTCCAAAGAGCCTGGGTTGCAACCTATTTATGAAATTTACTGAAATCCTGCCTTCTGTGTTCAAATCTCATTCATTTTTGGCTAAACTATTTATTTTACATAACAGTAAAATTGTTACCATAGACTACAATTGTTATATGTTTGACTTGCGTCTGAATCAGACCTCAAACACTGCAATTTCTTTTCTGCCCTCATTCTTCTTGGCTGCTTCGACTGACCTTGGATCAGAGGATTGAATGACATAGACATGACGCGACTACCTGACAGACCTGTTCTCTCTGATTAATGTCCTCATATTGAGGGCAATGTAGAAGATGGACCAGTGAAACTGACACACACACACACACACACTCTTGTCAATGTTAAAGTGATTTATTGAGACTATGTGCACTTCAATTAAGAGATTACATTTCTACAGAAATTCATTACTTGGGAAGTGTCTGTACTGGTTAACTGAATAAGTAAGTAGAGAATAAACCAATTTACAAATGAACAATTACCCATGAAGGCGTCTATTCAAGTTATTTTTATTTAGCTTTTATTAGGGTTTAGTGCAAAATTAAAAGAATGAATCATTTCTACTGGATAGCTGTTTGCTGGACACATGGCTTATTGAAATCCCAGGAGAAAAGATGTGGCAGAAGGTTTCTCCTCTTAGTGAAGCCATCGATCACACAGTCCATTTTATCCACGAAAGAAGAGAAACCCGGGTCCTCTGATAGCGGCTACTGATTGATTATGGCTCATAAATCCAATGTTATGACAAGAACAGCAGATAATTCACCTGTTTGATTTGTGTATAAGCCATCTGGAGGAAATGTATAAGCTTTCCTATCCCCTAAAAGTAGCCAGCCCTGTAACAATGGGTTCTGACAATGTGCTGCATTTAGACAGATGTTAAGATTACAGTCATCCATTACAAACAAAACTAGTGGAGAAGATGAAGAGCAGCTGAGATTATCTTTACCTGGTATGGTTACTTCGCAATTGGTCTTTTTAAGTCTCAGATTAAATCACACAATATTTGTTTATTATATGGGTTTTTGGAATAGTCAATTTTGATTAACTTACATAATTTGAACAATATTTCATGTCCACCTATTTTTTTTTTTTTTTGTGGAAAAGCTACTGTCCATTTTGTTATATACAATATCAAGTAACTTGCGTTAAAGGAGTACTTTTGAAAACTTTTGCTGATAATTTACTCACCCCCATGTCATCCAAGATGTCCATGTCTTTCTTTCTTCAGTCGAAAAGAAATTAAGGTTTTTGATGAAAACATTCCAGCATTTTTCTCCATATAATGGACTTCATTGGGAACCAAACAGTTCAAGGTCTTAAAGACACTTTCAGTACAAACTGCAAACCTTTTGAATCTTTTTCTGAGTCATTTGGTTCATTCAACAAACGAATTGACTCGGAAAAATATTTGTTCATTTTGATGGACGAGTTTGAACAGGAGAGTCACGAACGTGCATCACAGAACAGAGCAAGGCGAGCATTTGTGCTTATAAAACTTAAACTTTGTTATTTATTTTTTAAATGAGCGATCGATGACCCTTACTCATCGTCTGGAATCGTTTAAAGCCCTTCGAACAGTTTGCAGTTTGTACTGAAAGTGTCTTTTGGAGCTTGAACCGTTTGGTCCCCAATGAAATCCATTATATGGAGAAAAATCCTGGAATGTTTTCATCAAAAACCTTAATTTCTTTTCGACTGAAGAAAGAAAGACGTGGACATCTTGGATGACATGGGGGCGAGTAAATTATCAGCAAAAGCTTTTTTTAAAGTGAACTACTCAGCCCTGAACCATTTATGGCAGAACTCTGTATTAACTTATATTTCAGGCGATATTTGGCCAGTTTTATTTTATTTTTAGTTTATTAGAAGCCCTTTCATACTAAATTTCATATCATACTAAAGCTGAATAGTACATCATTCGACTGCTGTCAGGGCGGCAGCACCTCACGCGGATGAAGAGCGGCTGAGAGTCCAATCTCTTTTCATTTTATGTCTTCCATCTCACTTGCCTTTTTTATTAAAGGAAATTTGATTGGCTGAAGTTAGAGTTTATTAAAACTGTATTTCGTCAGTCATCATAACATACAGCATTTTTAGCGATTGTGGCAGATGCTATTATTCTTTCTCTTTCATGATTTAATCGCAATGGGCTGCTGGGATGTTGGCGGCCGCTGTCCCACACAGTGATGGGAGTTCATGGAAGTTGACAGCTGATAACCTTCATACTCTTTTCTTTTCTGGGTATAAGAAGTATGTTGTGACATAAAAAAAATTACAAAGCTAAATTCATCCAAGAAAACAAAACATTCAGGGTCATGCCAAAAGAGTAATGACTCATCATCACACATTGTGACAGCAAAAATAAAGCTGTGTATT